TATATATATAAAAATGTACTTTTTTAAAACATTGACTTTTCCAAACCGCGGTATACCTTGAAAGAGGTTATCGTCCGATGCCTAATTGAAATATTAGAGACTTACTGTCTAATTTTTTTTTAAAAACTAATTATATTTTAATGCATTTTTCAAGAATAACCAAAAAGAAACACACACACTTGAACACGGGGAGAACAAACAAACTCCATACCAGCCGACTCAGCTGGGTTTAAACCAGCAACCTTTTTGCTGTGAGGCGATTTTGTTGCCCACTGCACCACCATGCTGACAACAAAAAATAAAATAAAAAAGACTAGAAATTAATAAATAGAATAAGTCTCTAAAGAAACCACGGAGGTCGAGTTGGCTGGTTTGTTCATTCAGATATTCAGAAAAAAAAACCCAGACACTAAAGATTTTTTTTTTTTAATCTGTATTACCGAAATCATGTCAACCCTTTTAGCCACAATCATTCCCAAAGACAAAGACTGCTGGTGTCCATCTGGGAGATGAGAAATGTGAAAATTACAATCTAATTTTTAAGTCATGAACTGATACTTAATGGGATAGTTCACCCAAAAATGAAAATGTATTTACCACTCACCCTCATTTTTAAGTTTTCTGTTGAACACAAAGCAAGATATTTTGAAAAATGTTAGAAACCTGTATCCATTGACTTCCATGTTAAAAAACAACAACAAATACTGTGGAAGTCAATGCTTACAGGTTTTTAACATTTTTCAAAATAACACAAGGCAGGTACAATACTTTTAAACATAACTAATGCATATTTCAAGACAGCAACGTTGAATATGAGCTATAGCTTGCATTCCTAAAACATAACAAGTATAACCTACAGGCTATATCATTGCATTTTAAGTTCTTTCAAACAGACTCCAGCCAGAGCATAAATCACATAAGTCGGCTCTAGTAATCTAGCAATCTAGCAGTCCATGAGTGAAAGGTTGGCTCTTTTAATTGCAGAGAGTCGGCTCAAATAATGCTAGTCCTCTGCCTCTGTAATGCTGCTATACAGGTACTGGGGCGACTAGCCTTGAGCATGGCATCGAACGGCCAGGAGTGATTTCATACCCCGTGCGTTTGTCAACATGCTTTCATCTGAACTCCAGTTAGTATCATTAACAAGCCATATTTCACTCTTCTGGAATGTAGCTTCTCAAAAAACAAAACAAAACAAATGCAGATATTATGAATTTGACATATGTGTGAATCAATTCAAACATCTTTATCTAATTGTCATGTTGTGAAGACGTTTGCGCTTCCTTTGCCGAACCTGAAAGGGAAATCATTAGGCTTGTTTACTTGATGTCAGACATGGAAAAAATGAGGTGCTGGCTGTAAAAAGTCAGTTTGACTCTTGCACCCGCTGGCTGTCACCATGGAGACAAGCCCATCACAAATATAGCACTACTTAGAGAGAACTTTCATCATAATCCAGGTAGTATTGTCTTCATGCACATGAACGTGATCAGATTTCATTTTACATTAGCGAGTGTTTAAAAAAAAAAAGCACTTGAAAGCATTGCCAAGTGATGCATAGAATATAAAACCAATGCATGCACACACACACAAAGGGCTTTTCTTTTCTGCATTTCTCCTCTTCTCCAGCTCACTTAGTTGTTCAGTAAATAAATAGTCAATACATGTATTGCTGGGTTTCTATTTTTAACTGCCTTTTCTCCTTTTTTAAAGTCAATTTAAATGAAAATTTATTGTAAATTCCAGTGTAATGGAAGCTATATACATCACTCACTTTATTAGGTACACCCTGTTCTAGGTTTATTGTGATTTTTGTTGAAGAACTGACTTAAAACAAATCCTTAATTCTACCAAATTACTAAACCCAACTACTAACTATTAATAAGCAACAAATTAGTACTATTTTTTATTAAAATTCTTGGTAATTGGATGGTTAATAGCAAAAATTGTACCTTAATCCTTTGTGGCATAGATTTAAGGAGGTGCTTTAAATAATTTTTATAGATTTGGGATTATTTTAACTCGGCAACGTTAAGCAGATCAGGCCTGTTGCCAAGTGGGGTCAGGTGGTTCGGATGACCAACCCTCATGGACAAAGTTTCAGAATTTGTCCCATACATGAGCTCATTTGTCCTATTTTGACTGCTATTCCATCATAAATAGTGAAAATAATACATTGAAAAAGGATTTAGGACTAATTGGAATCCTCTGTTGTCTGTTGTGACTTTAGCTATCAGTTTTGTTTAATGTAGATATTAGTTTTAATGAGTCCAACATCCAGCTGTGCAAGAAAACATACAATCTGACTTAAGCGAAGTCAACTTTCGCTACTGTATTGTTTTTAAGCAGAGAAAACATTTTACATGTAACTTTTATTCTAAATCTTGAACCTTATTTTCTTAGAGCAAAAAATTACCAATAAAAGGTGTAAAGCGTCACAGTGACCCATAGAGCAGCCCTAAATGACAATAGGCCACAGACTTTTACAGATTCATTTTTTTTGTCTGATGATAAATGATGTGATATTTGTTTTTTTTAAATAAGTATTTTTTTTCATATTTCTTTATTGTAAATATTTAGCAAATATTTTTGGTACATCAAAAATTGTGGTTATGACGACCATCTGACAAGCTAATGCAGCCTAAAATGTCACTAAAATGCAGTATTTAAATCTCCTAAATAAATAGAAAATAAGGCATGTAACTGCAAAAAAGTCTACTTTTTAGGAAAAGAGAACCACCGCTTTCACCAGGATGCCTATACAGGCTTGCAGATGCTGCATATTCATCACATGTACATCCATCATGTGAATCTTCCATTAAACCACTTCCCAATTTGACTATGGTTTAGTGAACACAATGTTATGCAGTTAACCAGTTTGAGATATTTTCAGCTTTGTGACATGTGTGTTTCTGCTGGAAGTAGCCTATTTTTGGACACACTGTGATTAAATGGGTCTCAGTTGGTACTAATGGCCCAAAATTTGGTCAGAATATTTTCCCCAGGCCATTACACCACCAGCATAAGAAATCGATTCAAACCAGGATTGATCCACGCTTTTATGCCAAATTCTGCCTCTACCATCTGAAAGTCACAGTAGAAATCAAGAACCATCATATCAGGAAACATTTTTTCCAGTGTGTTCAATTTTGCTGAGCTCAGTAGCCTCAGTAGCTGTAGCCTCAGTTTGCTGTTTTCAGCTGACAGGAGTGTCACCGGTGTGCCCTTCTACTGGAGCTTTTCTGCTTCAGGCTTCAACATGTTGTGCATTAAGGGATGCTTTTCTGCCTCATTTCTAACTTGTTTTTTTTTTCTTTTGCTAGCTCCAAACTCTGACCTCTGGCATTAATGAGGCATTTTCACCCACCGAGCCACCACTAGACCATTCTCTACAAACCCTAGAGATGGTTGTGTATGCATAATTCTGTAAATCAGCAGTTTCTAATATACTCAAACCAGCCCATTTGACAAAAACACAAATTGACACAAAGTCATTTAAATATTCATTTTGTCCCATTCCAAGGCTCATTATGAACTGCAGCAAATAGTTTTGACCATGTAAACGTGCCTAAATGCTTTATGTTACTGCTATGAGATTGCCTCCTTATATGTGCATTTAGCATTTGATCAAATGTACCTATTAAAGTGGCCAGTAGGTTTATTTCTCCTTTCTTACTTAAATAATAAAATAAAATGACCACCAATAATCTACTCATGTAAACTACTGGACTTCCCGATCAATTTCTGGCATTTTGAATAGAAAGTATTGCTGGTTTTTGAAATATGTGTAATTTAAAATGAATGCAACAATAGAAGAAACATTGTATTTTTGTTTTTCAAGATGATATGCACACTTTCAAGTATTAAATATTAAAACAAAAAAGCTTGAGGTCAAATGTTAAATACACAACTGTGATCTAGTGCTTGTTAATACAATTCAACTTTTCTATTCATATTTTTTTATATAGAGCTCTTACTATAGGCTTTAACTTTTAACAAGCTTCTCTGTCTCATTTCGAACTTTTTTTAGTTACTTTTGCTATAGCTCCAAAATCTGACCTCTGGCATTAATGAGGCATTTTCACCCACAGAACCACCATTTACTAGACCATTCTCTACCAACCCTAGAAATGGCTGTGTATGCATAATTCAGTAGATCACCAGTTTCTAAAATACTTAAACAATTACCTCTGACAAAAAAACAAAACAAAAAACAACTTGACACATTCAAAGCCATTTAACTACTCATTCTGTCCCATTTTAATGCTCATTTTGAACTGCAGCAGAATGTTTTATGTGCCTAAATGCATTACGTTACTGCTTTGAGATTGCCTGATTACATGTGCATTTAGCAGTTGAACAATTGTACCTATTAAAGTGGCCAGTAAGTTTATTTCTCTTTTCTTACTTAAATAACAAAATAAAATGACCACCAATAATCTACTCATGCAAACTACTGGACTCCCCGATCATTTTCTGGCATTTTGAATGGAATTCAGAATATAGTTCTTATTAGATTTCTCTAATTTTAAATGAATGCAACAATAGAAGAAATGTTGTATTTTCTTTTTTCAAGATGTTTTGCACATATTCAGATATTACATTTATAAATAAAAAAACTCACGGTTAAATGTTAAAGATATTCTTGCAACTGATTTAGTGCCAAATGGATTGTCAAAACAGCTTAACGTAGAAGTTCTAGTAAATTGGATCTGCTTCAGTCTAGTTCTCACCGTTGAAGTTCATGTTAGTTTAGTTCAGTGTGTTGTAAATGTCACTCCTGAAAGCCAAAACACTGAAGAGCAAGTCCAATGATGTGCAGCTCCACAAATCCCAAAAAAAACCAAGTTAGTGGCAAGGAACAAACTACAAACTTTACATTACATTAAAAAGTACTACATTAAATGCAAGCTTGTTAGTGTATCTCTGAGTTGTTCTCTTTTCTAAGCATGTCTGAGAGTGATTCATTTCTGGGCCGTCTCTTTCTTTTCTATCTGTAGATGGAGCACAGGCCGCCAGTGCTGTGGATGGTGAGTCAGGGAATAAAAAAAAAGATCAGCCCATCCTCCCCTTACGAGACACAACACCCATCTTTAACATAACCTCATCAAACCTCCAGCAGCCGTGCCAACTAGCAAGGGTGAGTGTGGATCAGAAGGCATGTGTCAACAATGTACTGTTGTACGTTTTTACAAGGGCTCGAATGGAAGGCCAAGGAGGTCCCAGACTTTTCCATTACACTCTTACATGTGCCCGCAGCGATTATAACATATAGTTTGGGATTCCCCTAAATGAATAGAATATCCCATCAAAACATACTTCAGTTAAGAAGTCGTGCTCAGCCTTTTGTTGTATGAAAATGATATCTTGCCAAAAGGACTGATTGTGTATTTTGTTATTTTGTTATTGTTTTAAATGAAATAATTTAAAATGGCTCATGCATTGGCAAATAAGCTTTACACAAATTCATATTGTGTATAGTTGGCTGTTAGTTTTTGCATTGATATTAAGAATTATGAAATTTGCTGTTTCGGTTTCTATTAATGCAGGGGTGGGGAACCTTTTTTTCTGTCAAGGGCCATTTACATTTTTGTAACATCGTTTAGGGGCCATACTGAATTATAGGGCTGCTCGATTATGGGAAAAATCATAATCGCAATTATTTTGGTCATAATCGTAATCAGGATTATTTAAAATGATTATCAGCTGAAGTTATGAAAATTATTCACTCTCCTGTGAATTTAGTTTTTTATATATAAATATTTCCCAAATGATGTTTAACAGAGGATTTTTTCACAGTATTTCCTATAATGTTTTTTCTTCTGGATAAAGGCTTATTTGTTTTGTTTCAACTTGAATAAAAGCAGTTTTTAATATTTTGATACCTATTTTAAGGTCAATATTATTAGCCCTCTTGAGCAATATATATTTTTGATTGTCTGCAGAATAAACTACAGTTATACAATGACTTGCCTAATTACACTAATTAAGCCTTTGAATGTCACTTTAAGCTGATTACTTGTATCTTGAAAAATATCTAGTAAAATATAAATGTACTGTCATCATAGCAAAGATAAAAGAAGTGAAGTTTATTCATAAACTAATTTCGAGAGGAGCACGTGATTATGATTGAACACGGCTGGTTCTGCATTAGCATGCTTGATCCACCAATCAGGCCATTCCTAACCACTATAAAGAGCCAGGGTTTTCTCACTACAGTCATCTTCGATTTGAAGAATCCCCCCTTCCACCCCTACCTTTTCACCTTTCCCTCCATAGGGCAGCACGGTGGCTCAGTGACTAGCACTGTCGCCTCACAGCAAGAACGTCACCGGTTCTAGTTCCTTAACAGGCCGGTGGTCGTTTCTGTGTGTAGTTTGCATGTTCTTCCCGTGCTTGCGTGGGTTTTCCCAGGGTTCTCCGGTTTCCTCCCACATTCCAAAAACATGTACAACAAGTTAATCGTTAAATCTAAATTTCAATACAGGTAATCTAATAATGCAGCATATCTTTTAATAGCCTTCAATCTTTTCTTTAGCTATTATAAAAAGGGGAGTTGTCGAGATCTACCTGAGCTCGAGGCTCCCCTCTCTACCTCCAAACAGGAGGGAGCCCAGGGCTCAAGAACCTTCGAGCTCAGGGCTCTCTCCCGGGACAGCATGCCAAACTTGCTTATAATCAATCATCAGCTAAGTGTGAACTCTTGAAATCAGTTATTAGAAATGACTTAATGAAATTAAATCTGTTATGTTTAGAAATGGGTTGAAAATAAATCTTTCCATTAAACAGAAATTGGGGGGAAAGGGTCGCTTATAATTCATTTCCTCCCTGTAAATAAGGAAAGAGAAATACAATAGAATAAAAATATGAAACAAACTGTGCTTTAAGCATCTTCACTGTAAGAAAAAAACTTCAGCTACAAAAGTCCTTCAGTCAAGAGCAGTGAGGGATTTTCTCCTCTTGTTTGATTAATAATAAAAACAGGCAGCAGCAGGAATATTGTGCACTATCACTTTAAGAATAGAAACTCTGATATGGTTTCTTTTTCACGTGTCTTTTGATTCTCAACTTGTTTGTTAGTTACACAAATGAGGGTTAATATGAATAATCACTAAACACCGCGCTCTGACACAAGTGTGCATGTATTTGACCATTAAAGCGCTCACATTAAGATGGCGTTAGATGTGTGTGTGTTCTGCTCGTCTCTGAGGCTAAGCGCGCACACACACAGAAGCATGCCATGCGGTCGTTCGCGCTATTAAAAATATGAATGATTCGAACGTACATCAATGAATGATGCACATCCTGTGCTGCAAACGTTACATTACAGCAAATGCTTTTAGTCATTTTCATGTGAAACTGAGCTTTGCAGAGCAACAAATGTGTACAACTGTCACTTTCTACAACAGAAATTTATTTATTTATTTCCTGAGGGGTGATTTTGAATTGACGAATGGGGCTGGATCAAATCCTCTCGCGGGCCGCATACAGCCCGGAGGCCAGACGTTTCCCACCCCTGTATTAATGCGATGTGTTGAAAAAATCAGAGATGCAATAGTACCAAACAAATGGTTCCATGCAGCACTTGTCATATATTTTGTGAGTATACAGCAGGGTGTTGTGGAAAAACAAACCAAAATGTAAAATTATGTTGTGAAAAGAAATATATTTTTTGTTATTTTTGTCTCTTTTTCTTTTCATTAATTAAACCATTGTGTTTGTATTGCTTAAAAGTGATATATATTAACTTCTACTGTTGAGTGTGATATGTTTTGCATAATAATGAAGCATTTTTGCAGAATTAGACGAAGCTGATTGTCTAAAATTAACTTGAGCTCTGCAGTGAAACTTCCTGTGAGCACAGAATATTTGCAGTTGAGGAAGTCTTATGCTTTTAATGTTGTGCAGAGAATTTGTAGAAAAAGAGGACGTATGTATGGGTGCGGCCAATAGAGGAATGGAAAATGATTGACAAGTGACGAATATCAGCTAGTTATAAAAGCGTGAATCAGGAAATGAAGTTTGTTGCGCTGTAATTTTTGCATTGCATTGAGGATACCAGAATTCTGTGAATCGAATTATTCATTTGTATCCAATACATTACTTATATGTTTGACATTGAAGAAAACTCTCTTCTGACCTTTTTTATTGAACATGCATTGGATTGTTTAATTGATCCAACATTTATTTAATAAAAACCCTGACCTAGACCGTTTGCATATTTCTGAGACTAGTTTGTATTAGTGTGGCAGTTCATGCTGATTTGCCGTAGATCAAACAAACAAGTTGTCAGAAGTCAAGATTGCAAATGCAATTTAAAATAACACCATCCATCTGAAAGGTAAATATAAAAAGCTATGTTGAGTTTGTCAGAAACGCAACAGATTATTAAGATCATTGAATATATCTGACTTTCAATTCTGTCTGGAGGGCTTCAATTCAGTGAAGGAACTGCATGTATACATCTAGTGCAATTTGTTTAAACATTTTGATTGAGCAAAAATAGTTCACTTGTGTACTTTGCCAAGAATGTCATGTAAAAAGAATAACAGGTTTTTGAGCAACAAATTGTTTGTTCTTCACCAAACTCCTCACACAGCTGAGTGGGCTTGACAAACCACCTGTAGAAAACACACACACTTTTATCTCTCTGACACAATAACTGACACTTGCACCAGTTCTTGCACTTTTGCACTAGACACATTCTTACAATCACTCCATATTAAAAAACATTTAAAAATCAATTTATGAAGTGTGCTTTACACAGGCGACAAACCACCTGTAGAAACACTCTTCTCTCTCTCTCTGTCTCTCTAAAAACAAACAAATAAAATAAAAAACACACTCCCCCTCCTAACTCTAGCACTTAATCTTGAGCACAAACAGTTCCTTTGTATAACTAGCTCTTCTTGAACTGTATTTTAAAGATCTAGGTGCAGAGTCTAAAGCGTATGGCACATAGGCATTAAGGGCTTGTTCGAATTCACTTTTGCTATTTAAAGGACGTAAAAATAAGATCTGCCCAGGCACATGGTCTTATAGAGTTAAGCTTATCTTTTAACGAGTTGTGGGTGTGATTTGAGCATATGGTGAATTAATCCAATCAGAGTCTCATCTCCCATTACCTTTAAAAGTCAGTTGCGTCGCGCACATTTGCTATTTACATGGCAGACTCTGTCAGTGAAAAACCTGAACGTTTCACTAGTGAGAAAACAGTTAAACAGAACGTGGCCACAACGTGGCCAAAAACGTGAAAACTAGAGCTGCACTGGTCTGAAAATAGCAACAAACTGCACCATACACATCTTGCATCTTATTGCACCATGTGTATGTTAGAGCCCCTTGTGTGTATTTCCTTGTTTTGTTGAATTGCTGAATACCTCCTCAATTGTAAGTAGCTTTGGACAAAAGCATCTGCTAAATGACGAAATGTACTAAATGTCAATATAAATCCCCGGAATGCTTGTAATATATATAACGTTTGATACATAAGACCTTTTTTGATACTGTAATTTAAAAAAAAAAACTTAATGCTGAATGCTATTCACTGCTATTATGACTGAGAGTGCACTGAAAAAAAATGTCGTTTTGATTAATTTCTGCTTTTCTCTGTTTTTAAGTTTTATTCAGTTAACTCAATAATTTCATAAAGTTTTCCTTACTGTATATTAACAATTGTGAAAAAAATCAAAATATGCTATCACTGTCATTAAATCTACAGCGGCTGGTACCCTTACTGTGACATAGAGCTGAAAAATGTTCCAAAGAATGTTGTAACGAATTCATGTTTTCCACGTGGACCTCTAATTTCCCTGCATACTTCTCAAGCCTCACCACCCCTTTAAAAGCATGTATCTAAATAATTGTGTCACTGTCTTCTAATAACTGCCAGAAAGCAGCTTCTCATTATCTAACCTCAGACTCAAGATTTACAAATCTTTAGACAATTCACAGTTATGGCCAGGCCATCTCTAGTTCTCTCAGCGAGGGCACAGCTATCTAAAAGGACCTTGATTTATACATGGCGACTGATAATTACTAGTGTCTTCCCATTCGTCAAAAATAAGACTGGGCTGGGAGGGGTTTAAAAGCATGCTTGAAGTTCTCAGTACAAGACAATTAATCTGCCAGCCCTTCTTG